GACCGCAGTGCATCAGCCGTTACTGCTTACCTATGGATCTGTTGGGATATATGTTGGTAATATCTTGCATCTGAGTGCACAGCAACGTTGTGCTTTATCCCAAGCATCATACGAGCAAGGCGTAGGATTAGGAAACGAACTTACGAGTCCTCATATCATTACAGTCTACCATGCCTTCATCCATTCAATCGGTTATTCGTTCTTTTTTTGTGTAACTAACCATACATCCCGTGGGGTTAAACATTTGCACCTCATATCTCCGGCTTAACAGCAAAGAGTGGAAATTCTCTTTCATAATGTCCCGGTATCAAGCTCCGGTTATGCGTATGCGAACCCTTTACCCCGGTTAGATACCCAGAAATTTTTGACATTTGCATTCGTCTGTCTTGCCCCGCGGAGAGAAATAATGGTAGAAAGAAACTTTTGTAAGTCCTGTTGTGTAACAGATGGTGCCGGCAATGGCTGTGTCGCTCCAGTGTCAGAGGCATGAGCTTTGCGTGAAACATCCAGAGATGCCAGTCCATTGCCAAAATAGAGCCGAGCAATGCCCTGATGTTTGAAGACAAATTTCTTAATGACTTCACTGAAATGGTCCAGGTCGGAACGGGCACAGTTTCCAGCAATCTGGTACATAACAGATTCACCAAGTACGCGAAGATAAGGGTCCAGGAATCCTGGAGGTTCGTTAGGCCGGGGAGGGCCCATAGAGGCCCCGGTTGAGATTAGCCCGGGAGGCAGGTCGGTTAGGGATAATATGGCAGCCCAGAATGAGCAAGATGCGCGAAGAGGCAGGGGTTCAGGCCTCTTGAGCACATCCAGAGTGAAGTAAAGGATTGCAGGAAGAGGGGGCGGAGTAGTATCCACGCACTGCAGGTTAAAGAACTGCACATAATACCTTGGGATGAGACGGGTGAGGAAGTCTATACAGCTGTGTGCCGCTTCTGGATCATAGCTGTTGGCCGAGACTGTCAAAGTTTGTATCAAAGTAGCTGTGTGCAGGGTCAATTCCGTAACTTCCTGTTCAATGACAAGAGGGGTTGAAGACCGGGAGGCCAAAAATGCAGTGGCAGTAGCCATGACGTTAGAAAAGCGAGGAGATGAGATATTTGTGGCCTTCACAAAGCGAACGGTTACTTGGGTTGGGAGAACATAAGGGCCTGGGTGCCTCTCGGTGTAACCAGCCTTGAGTACGTCGCAAGTCGCCTCAATCATGTAGCTCTCGTTGGGGAACTGGCCCACTAATGTGTCAAGGATGCGAATAACAGTTTCCGTAACAGATACTCCGAGAGGGTCATTGGCCCAGAATGAGTCGGATGCAGGTCGGGAATCGTGGGTATCAAGATCAATCACGTCGTCATCTGGAGCGCGAATACCCCTTCCAATACTCGCTGTGCAACGCATTACTATTAAACTTCGTGCCAAACCCTCTTCATATTGCCCATTGCTCGCTTGTTGACAGGCTGCCTGTGCCTCTTGGAGTAAAGGGTTGAGTAATTTCAATAGAGCAACGGCTCTCTCTCTATCAAGTTCCGTCGCCTGGATGACCGCAGCAATTCCCTCTGCAACACGCTCTAGGGTGGAGTCACCGAGTGAACTTTTGGTGCATAGCTGGTGAAATTTATCGATAAATCCCTGGGAATGCATAGGAAGGAACTTTCGGCATGACTGACAGAGCGAGGAGATAGATCGTGAGGCCACTGGGTCGCAAGAAGGGAAATCAAGGGAGCTAAACAAGAAGTTCAACACTGGGGTAAGGAGCTTCCCATTCCTAGCAAAATATGGGGTATAATGGTCGATCATGTCGGCCATGGTTTGCCGCACCTTTAGAGGAATTTCCTTGTGACCGAAACATACTGACTGGAACACTTCTGAGCAGAATAGGTCGTCAAGAATATGGTCTGCATGCTCGTTTTCAGCAACAGATTCCGCAAGGGATCCCAAACAATAGATTGAAACTTCGAACCCTTCCCAATCGTTCTTCGCAATTGAGTTTGAAGCCTGTTCCAGAATATGGCGAATAACGTCCACTCCTAACAATGGATATACCTCAAGGAGATACTCAGCAAATTCACGGCGGAAATAAACAAACAGGCTCAACTCGTTGTCATCCCAAGTCTCAGAAACTTCGTGGCTTGGGAAGCGTAGTTTGTCATAACCCTCAGAAATAACTCTGGCAAGCTTTTGTTTAATTTCCTCAGAAACTGCCAGTGCACCATCAAGAACCAGCTCGTCTATATCGCTTGCAACTTCAGTCCAAAATTCTAAAAGCAGAATAACGGCACAATCGTCGACCTGCGGATAGCCAGGCGCGTGGAATAATTTGTATAGTAGGAAGAGAACCTTCTCCCGTTTTTCATCAGATGGGCCGTTGATGATGATATTTGACTGGTCGAGTGCTGAGAATCGTAAAAGGAGATCCAAGAACTTCAAGGACTCATCATCATACTCACCATTCATCAAGGCAATCGCATACTTCTCCCCAGGACCGACGATAAAATTTATAATGGCATCCATGTGATCCTTACCAACTAGCTTGTACTGATTGGCAATTGTTTCCGCAAATAGCTCCATCACAGGCAAAGCTAAGGCCTCAATGCCAAAGAAGTGTGTGGCAAAGCCCAACGGTTTCTTTACTTTCTCGGCAAGACCTGGAGGATTGATTTTTCCATTATGGAAGGCTTGTAGCCATGCCTATTGTTGCGATCAGTACCAAAAAAAAACAAGAAACGCAGCCGGATTGGACACATAATACATACATGTAGTGTTTGAATAGATTCCTTGGCTACATCAAGAGAATGGTCTGTTACATTTTGATTTGAGACACTGCCCGCATTGTTTACAGCACGCTCAAAACCGTAATCAATTAAGTGGAAGACGTCATTAGTATTGGCTTGCAGTCGGTTACCAGATTCAGTACTACTAGATGTGTAAGCGGGAGTTAGAAAACACGGGAAGAATAGGAAAGGTGCTAACCCTTCAGTAAGGTATCGCGTGGATTCCTCGGCTAACGCAGTGCAGAATGACAGTAACGCGACCAGACGTTCATGGCTAAGAGCCGATAGCGCATGGAGTGCGAGAGTTGGGTCCTCAGACTTATCTTCAGGGAGGTATTTCCCATTAGCCAAAGTCACGGTGACATGACGCACGCTGTATGTCCAGGGTGACCCGGGCTTGAAAAAGAACGTGGTTAGTGTAGAGAAGAATTTTCTCATGACCAACGGTTTCTCTGCGGAGTCGATGAGTACCACGAAGCAGTTCATCAACTGTGCAAGAAGTGCCAACCGCTGCTCCACATTGAGAATGTCCCTAATAGAGCAATAGAAGACCAAATTAGAGTGGGCGACTTCTTGTACTCAGGGTATGACAGATGTCTCACCATTCCTGGTTAATTTTCATCGTAAGGGTAAGAGGTCCATAGAACCTGATCTTTGGATCCTCGCATCCTAGAAAGCCATCCGCTATCATCCATCCTGCACTCGACTTCTGTAATTTTAGCAAGCGTTCTTGGATGCTAGCCACTTGGCTAGCGAGACCAGGGGTAGTCAAGTCAGTTGCAAGCTGTAGGAGATAAGTCAGTCAATAGGAAGGTTCAAGATGCATTAAAAAAGAGACTGAATCAAGAGATATTCGGTACATACCTGCCTAGCCTCAAAAATCAGGGCATCAATATCAGCTTGCTGCACAGTTGACCCATCTGGCTGGTCCATTTTGAATGCTATCTCCAGCAAGATCAGAATATTTTTGTTATTGGTCTTTTTTTTTTTTAAGGTTAGCTCTCCGGATATAGATAGAGGGAGAAGAGAGATAGATTCTGGCCAGGAAAGCGGGTTTCGTAGAAGATATTCTTGATTTTGTTATCAAAAAAACAGTGACAACAAGAGTGCTCCTGTGATAAACAGGAGTCAAAAGGTTATTATGGTTGTAGAGAGAAAGAGAGAGAGAGCCACAGTGAAAAGGTCAGTCTCTCCCACCAACAAGGAAGGGAGGAGTGAGTAAAGAGAGTCAATCAACCAGTCAATCAGTAATGATGGAAATAGCAGTAATAAGTTATGTTTTAGTAGCTTAGACCGCACCAGTTGCGCCAGTTGGAGGTTGCACCACAACAGCAGGGTTGGCCAGGAGATGGCTGGCTTACCAGGTGTCCAGCAGAGGGAGATTCAACAGTAACAGCTCAGTACTAATGATGGCCGTTCCATTCTCTAGACATGGCACAGTCCTCGAGAGAAAGAAGAATGCTGGCTAATAGTCTGGTACATGAGAGTATATCCCGTTTAATTTAAGGAACGCATGGCTGCCTGGCTGCGGGACAGAAACTGGCTTCATAAATAGCATTGTTCGCTGTTACTTGGTCAAAGGAGGGGCCCCAATTCGCTTCACCGGAGGTCAGGATAGCAAATGGAGACAATGGCTCCGTAGCGGGCCTTTTTCTTCTGGTATATCTGATAGCTACCGACGCCGGTTCATCGGGTCAGGCCATCGACTGCACCACCGCAAAATAACACTCCTTCAGCACCGAAACTTGTGGTGAAGTCGAAAATTCCCCAAAGCAGGAAAAGCGACGTCGAGCGACGAGGATGGTCACGTGGCGCTGAAACTCGCAGGCCAGAAAAAAAGGCCGACATCAACAAACAAACCAGCACGCAAGGAGATACAAGCATACAAACTGACGACACAGCAGGTAGTTAACTAGCTAGCTAGCGATAACTAGCCAAACTAACGAACGGACTAAGCAGTTAGTTGTCTGGCGAGCTCGTTCCGGCCCGAAGGGAATCGCCTTCGTCCAACGACCTGGTTATCTCTATTGCTGAACTACCCGCCCCCTGTATACTTTTACCAACAAGCCGCTGCCGGGACAGCCAGAAGCCAACCCAAGCAACACAAAAGACTAACAGCGAAAGGTCACAGCATCTTCTCCGCAGCCGCCCTTGCATGCGGATGATCCCCCGGACACGAAACCGCCCCTCGTTCTTTCTATAAAGAACCCCTCGTCCGCCCGATAAATGACCATTTTCCGCCCTCATCTCCGGTTTCTCTTCAAACCACACTTCCTCTACTTCCAATCTCCCGCCGGACAGTCCAGCAGACCGTTTTCCACCTCTCAGATACTCCGCACTGCTCTCGATATGCCGCCACCACCAGTTGACACGACCCAGCGTCTCGCAAAGCTGCGAGAGCTGATGGCTCAGAACAAGGTCGATGTATATAGTATGCAATTCAGATACACCATCAAAGCTCCCTTGATAATAACAGTCGTATACTCATTCTTCTTTTTTCTACTCCTCGCCTTAAAGTTGTGCCTTCGGAAGACAGCCATCAGTCAGAGTACATTGCTCCATGTGATGGGCGTCGAGGTTAGACCTGTCCCTCCATAAAAGAATACCTACCCGTAATACCAGCCGGCAGACGCTTATACGTATCACTGCAGCTTTCATATCCAGCTTCACTGGCTCGGCAGGATGTGCCATCGTCTCTATGAGTAAAGCTGCTTTGTCTACGGACGGCAGATACTTCAGCCAAGCTGCAAAGCAGCTCGATTCCAACTGGACCCTGTTGAAGCGAGGCGTCGAGGGTGTCCCAACCTGGGAAGAATGGTATATTGCCTCTGGGATCGACTTTTTTTCGGTATCATAGTTGACAGACTGGACGTAGGACTGCTGAGCAGGCCGAGAATGGCAAGGTTGTCGGTGTTGACCCGTCACTTATCACGGCCGGTGAGAATCTACATTATACACCTCTTACAAGTGTCGTCGTGACTAACTGTAGTTATGTTATAGCGGACGCACGAAAGCTTTCTCAAACGTTGAAGACCACCGGAGGCTCCTTGGTTGGAATCGATCAAAACCTGATCGATGCCGTCTGGGGAAATGAACGCCCTGCACGACCTGCCAACCAAATTACCGTACAGCCTGTCGAGCGCGCAGGAAAGCCATTCGAGGAGAAAGTGGAAGACCTGCGAAAGGAATTGGCTGCGAAGAAGAGGTCTGCTATGGTTATTTGTATGACACCAGCTCTATTTTTGATCAAACGTATACTAACGAACGCAATATAGCCACCTTGGATGAGATTGCATGGCTCTTCAACCTCCGTGGAAGCGAGTAAGTTTTTTATATCATTGCGATCTTCACTTTTATTCAAAGCCATACTGACTAGCGTAGTATTCCATATAACCCCGTCTTCTTCTCGTACGCAATTGTGACACCCTCAGTTGCAGAACTCTATGTCGACGAGAGCAAGCTATCCCCAGAAGCCAGAAAGCATCTCGAAGGCAAGGTCGTGCTCAAACCATACGACTCCATCTTCCAAGCTTCCAAAGTCCTCGCCGAATCCAAGGCATCAGCTAGCAGCGGTTCCTCTGGAAAATTCCTATTGTCTAACAAGGCTTCCTGGTCTTTGAGCCTCGCCCTTGGTGGAGAGCAGAACGTCGTTGAGGTTCGAAGTCCTATCACTGACGCCAAGGCCATCAAGAACGAAGTTGAACTGGAAGGCTTCAGAAAATGTCATATCCGTGACGGCGCAGCTCTGATCGAGTACTTCGCCTGGCTTGAAAATGCATTGATCAAAGAAGGTGCCCAGCTGGACGAAGTAGATGGGGCAGACAAACTCTTTGAGATCCGCAAGAAGTATGACCTCTTTGTCGGCAACTCCTTCGACACCATCTCTTCTACCGGTGCCAACGGTGCTACCATTCACTACAAGCCCGAGAAGTCAACTTGCGCTGTCATTGACCCGAAAGCTATGTACCTGTGTGACTCTGGTGGCCAATACCTTGATGGTACCACTGATACGACCCGAACTCTCCACTTTGGAGAACCCACAGAGTTCCAGAAGAAGGCTTATGCACTTGTTCTAAAGGGACATATCAGTATTGACAACGCCATTTTCCCCAAGGGAACCACCGGATACGCCATTGACTCCTTTGCTCGACAGCATTTGTGGAAGGAGGGTCTAGATTACCTCCACGGCACCGGTCATGGTGTTGGCTCGTTTTTGGTATAGAGTTCCCTTTCTCCCTTTTTCTACTTCTGTCTTAGGCTAATACATTCTCTCTAAGAACGTCCACGAGGGACCTATGGGCATAGGAAGCCGTGCTCAGTACGCTGAAGTCCCTCTCTCTGCTAGCAACGTTCTTTCCAACGGTAGGATTACCGCACCTCAACTTTCTTGAATCTCTACTAATTTTCGAACAGAGCCCGGGTATTACGAAGACGGCAACTTCGGCATCCGTCTCGAGAGTAAGTCTAATGACTACATACCTTTTTAGTTACTTAATACTGACTGCATCTCCTAGACCTTGTAATCTGCAAGGAAGTCCAGACTGCACACAAATTCGGTGACAAGCCTTTCCTCGGATTTGAGTCCATCACTCTGGTACCTTTCTGCCAGAAACTCCTTGATGCTTCTCTCCTAACTGAAGCCGAGAGGAAGTGGGTGAACGATTACCATGCGAGAGTCTGGGAGAAGACCAGTCCCTTCTTCGAGAAGGACGAGTTGACAACCGCCTGGCTAAAGCGCGAGACCCAACCTATTTAAATGCCATTTGGTGGTGTCGTGTGAAGCCCTGCTATGGAAAGCCTGTATATACGTATCAAGAGTGAGACCGGATAGGTTCAGAAAAGCAGGAATGTGCCAAGTAAAAATGTATTCTCTGTAGGTCCTCGGCCGTTGGAGGCATGCGGGCATGTAGGAATAGTATTATCTAGGGGCTATGTTTATGATAACCATGACACAGCGAAGAGCCATTTCTAAAGTTTATATTAGGTGAACGAAGGAGGCTGTCAAAACCTGCTTGAAAGAGCGACATATATACAGCGAGTCAATAAACGAAAACATGTCGGCCGTCCCATGCATCCCAAGCCATGCAACAAAAAGGAAAAAAAATCGATCATCAGAGTCCAAGACAAGGAAATCCAACATTCGCCATACATATATCAATCAACAGCTGAAAAAATTAATTCTGTTGTCCTTTTTCCTTGCAGCACCAATCCAATGGTTGACCGACTGAGACTGTACTCGGCTCTCCTTCCCTGCGTCAACATCCAAAGTCTTCGCTGCGGCTGAAAGCTGGGACCAGATATATCGTGATATAAACCATGCAAGTACAGCTGAAACCAAAACATAACCCAAAGTAGGTACGAGAGAAGTTGGGAGAATATTGAAGATATAGGGGTCGAGAATGAGGTCGACAAGGACTGGTGGGACATTTGCCATCAGTCCTTTGTCAGAGGTGAAATAGTCTGCAGCTGCATCGATGACGAGATACAGCGTTACTCCAGCCGGGCGGACAGAGGTTCCTCCCAGTGAAGTGCTGTTTTTGTTACGATAGGCCTGGATCTCCGAGAATTCGGCTAGGGAAGCCAATAGATTTGGAGACTGGAGGATCTCAGATGGTTGGTGAGTTGATAGAGTGAATTCAGTGGGTTGCTAGAGGAAGTAATCAGCATAGCTTATTATAGCTAACTTTTATCTGTGAAGATATTCTCGGATGGTTACTGGCACGAAATACTCACTGTTGCTAGCCAGCATACTCGAACTTCATAGCGCTGTCCAGGAACCAGCCCCTCAAGACGGTACCACGACCTCTTCCCAGAAGGAGCCGTATCAGTTGGGAACGCAGCTTCGAGATATTCCCTGATACTCGGTGCTGAAGGTGAAAGAGTCTTTAACTCAACGTTCAAAAGGGCGGACTGGGCCATGTCCACGTTTGGCGATATAAACATCGTCTTCTCGACGTTTGCCAGCGCAAGGCCGACAAAGCCACTGACTAGCCATAGCATAAACCTCATATTCATCCTCGAATGTACAATAACGTTCCTTTTGTTCTGTTTGTATTGGTATATCCGTAATCTCTATTTCACCCGCTCAGATACCCCAGGTATAAGAGAGCCGAATAACACAAACGACAAGGAAAACCCCCCCCTTGGCTTTGCAGCGGGGTAGAGAGAGGTATTATTATATCCTTCTAACTGATGTCATCCACGGGATCTTTGATCTTCCTTTGGATTGTCGCTAGCCAACTTGGTAGCAAACGAATGGCTCCAATGACAAGGCGGCGCTCATGTGGGATTGGACTCGAGCAGCCCCAAAACCAAGCACAAGCCAGCTAAGCAGCAGCACCTCTTGCAGCAAGCCTCAAGCCACCAGAAGGCTATATACTGCCAGAGTCAGCCGTGAAGGCCCTCACGGCCGACAACTCGGCCTGGTCGACTCCGGTGGTCTGGTGGCTGCTTCAGCTGCCCAGTAAGCCCTTTTCACTACTGCCTGGCTGACAGTTGTCCCACCACACGAACCGGCCCTGCTGCTCACGCCAGCGTCGCACTCATGTCGAAGGGGAAAGGGTCGTACCACAGATAGGCGATATGTCATATAAGAACTGTCTATGCGGTCTCAGTATCAATAGTAGCTGTCATCCAGGGCGAGTAAACATAGACCCGTGGTAGGCTGTTGGTCCCCTTTGGGGAGGTTAGCCGGGGGTCGTGGCGCTTCTCCCAGCGCGCTTATTTTTCCTTTCCAGTCCAGGAACCGCCGGGCGAGGGAAAAAAAAAAAGGGAGCCAATGACACAACAGCCGCCGTTTTTTTTGTTGACAAAAGGGGAGAGAGGAAAAAGATAGAAAGGAAAACAAGACTCCCTCGCTGCGCACGCTCACTCATTCAAGCTTGAAAGGGCCTCAGAGATACTACGGAGCACCTGTCTGCCGTCGAGGAGAGTAGAAGCTTTTACTCCGTGCCAGGATTGCCCATCCCACCTTTTGAACCCTGCCGTTGGTGGTCTTTTCGGCCGTTTCAGCTTGGGCAGCAAACCTCGCATTACTGGAGCAGAGCCTCCCCTATTACTGTCAACCGTGGGGCGAGAGACTCGCTTCATATTTCTGCTTAAACAACATTGCCCGAGAGCTTTTGAGACCTCCAGTGATTCGCCATGAGAGAAGTTATTTCTTTGAACGGTAATACATACATGAACTTGGGCTGCAGGCTCCCGTGTTTAAGACGATCTTAGATCTGTTTGCTGACATTGCTGCCTCGTTAAAGTCGGTCAGGCCGGTTGCCAGATTGCAAACTCCTCGTGGGAGGTATGGTATTAACCTCATGTCTGAGCCTATGGGACTGGATAACCTTGTGGATGTTGATTGTATGGACATGCTGATCGTCTGACTGTCCCGGTCTTAATAGCTATATTGCCTTGAACACGGACTCCAGGTACCTACTTAACCCGACCTCTCCCTCGACACCCCGAGTCTCTGTCTCTCTCTGCCTCTGTTGAATTGCATGAAAATCGTCTCCTAATATGTCAATGTCCGTTATTATAGCCTGACGGGTATCTGACTGAAGAACGCAAAGCCGAGAATCCAGATAAGGATACCTTTCATACTTTCTTCTCTGAGACAGGTAGGGCATGCTTTCTCTTCCACCCAATGGCTACCAGGCCTTTCTAACAGGCTTTTAGGAAGCGGCAAATATGTTCCCCGAACGATATATTGCGATCTCGAACCGAATGTGGTTGACGAGGTTCGCACTGGTACCTATCGCCAGCTCTTCCACCCTGCCCAGATGATCACCGGAAAGGAAGACGCTTCGAACAACTTTGCTCGTGGACACTATACTATCGGCAGAGAGATAATCGACGATGTTGTGGAAAGAGTTAACCGTCTTGCTGAGAACTGTGATGACCTGCAAGGATTCTTACTCTTCCACTCCCTGGGTGGTGGTACGGGTTCGGGTTTTGGAACACTTCTCCTAGAGCGCCTAGCCACCCACTTTGCAAAGAAGAGCAAGCTTGAGTTTTGTGTCTACCCTGCTCCCAACCTGTCAACTTCGGTAGTCGAGCCGTACAATTCGGTACTGGCTACAAGCTCGACTATGGAATTATCGGATTGCAGCTTCCTCCTTGACAACGAAGCCATCTATGATATCTGCACGAAGCAGCTCACCATTGAACGGCCAGGGCTAGAAAACTTGAACCGTCTCGTGGCACAAGGTAAGCAGTTTGATACTTGTTTTTAATTAACGAGTCAGAAAGGAATAAAGGAAAGAAACAGCTAATTTTTTTTTTTTTTTTTTTTTTTT